ATGAAGAAAACATTAACAGATGTCTATCTATTCAGCATTCTCGGTACATTAAGTGAAACTAATACACTTATCTGATGGAATACAACCTCGTAAACAAGAGTGACCTCGAATCCTAATGCAGTGTTTTTAACAATACAACATTCATTGGTACATGCAAGGTCACATACTTTCATTTCTAGTTATGTGATTCAAGCAAGAACGCAAAGGCTGATATATAAAGTCATCCAACTGGTGGGGAGAATATGACTGACAAACTATGAAAGCTGTGTCTCACTTAATTGTGTGCAAAGTAATACAATACACAATTTGCCTATTTCACTTCGTACGAGATAGATGAGTAGATGCAATTTCGAACAAGTAAGCCAAAACAAATAATACACATAAAATACAAAAATAAATTAGATATAAAATTGCATCTTAAAGTATTTTCTCGCAAACATGTATTGCTTTTATTTTTCTCTCTTTCAAAAGTTGGAGGTTTAAATATAATCCATATCAGTATGCAGGATATTGCGGGTATCTGTTCAGAACTAAAGACGATACTTTCAGTTCAATTTACGGATATGTTTGACGTGCATTAATGACACCTTTTGTGACAGTTTTCGAAGCACCTTGTACTAAGCTCAGGTTTTATGTAGTAACTAGTCGCTACCCGCAAAACATTTGTGGTAGTTTTCATTCTCTTCGCTTGAATTTTCCTTATGCTATCATTTTTTCGCTCGCCATTTAAGCTACACTTTCTTATAGGCATTATCTGTTAGATGGATAAATCCTGGTCTATTTGGGAAAACATTAAGCAGTAAGACACACTCACGTAGATGTAACTTTATTTAACAAGTACAATAAAAATACTTAAATTTTATAAAGACGGGTGGGGATCGATATCTAGGTAACCTAACTAGCTATTGTAATATAGAAAGTTTTAATGTTACAAAAAAGTATCGAAACAAAAAAGTCAAAAGTAAAAAAAAACTGAGTTACTTAAAATTATAAATATAATAATATCCGTACTTTGGCAAATCACTGTAATTATGTTAGTCTGCCCAAAGTAGGGATAATTTTTTTTAAATTTTAAGTAACTTAGTTTTTTCTTTATAAAATTTAAATTTTTTAGTATACCTATTTGTCTTCTTTTTATTAGCTATATTTGCGTCAGCAATACCAAACGTGGGGCGCGCGTATACCAGATTTGATTTTATTACTCATCAGAATCTCTATCAACCTACCCTCAAAACTAATTATATGCACAACTAGCGCATCGTCCGTTTTATATAATATATATATACACACACACGCACACACACACACGCACACACAAGTATATTATTTGGTACAAGGAAGAAATCA